AAATCATATATGAAGAATCCCGCCTTCCTTCTCTTAACAAAAGATTCCATATTCTAACATTATGAACATTTCTAAAGATAACTGCTTCACTTTAGGTCACAATATGTGTTTATTAACTAGGAGGCCTCATTTTTCAGCCACCAATGGTCTAGATTGAAGTGCCCTCAACTTATTTTTACACACAAACATTTGAACTCCTTATGAGTTAACCTTTGGGAAGTAGCTGTACTCAACACTAAAGATGCAATTAGGATTGAATTTGATTACACATGCACACACACACATATATATATATATATATACATATATATATCCAAGAATGCTAAAAAATTACCATATCAGTATCTAAATGGCATTTTGGAAGATCATTTAGCCAATCTAGAAACATTTATTGCGATAGCGACTTATGTTTCCAATTGTGAAAAGAAGGCAGGTGTAGAAATCGTATCATCTTCTGTAGATTGCGCTTTCTCAATTTAATTACCCAAGTTTACCCCTAAGCTGAGCTATTGGCAATAGTCCTAGCACTGCATAAATTGCCCCAAGGTCTATCAGCCGTGGTTGTTCTAACAGAGTGTCTCTCTCTCTGTGCTGCCTTAAGCACACCAAATTTTTCACGTACCTTAGAGACATTCTACTCACTCATTCAACTAGTGTGGGTACCAGGTCATAATGGTTTAGCTCTCAATGAGCATGCAGATACACTAGCTATAACTTCGCTTGATGATCCTGTCCTGTTCACAGCAGCAGGTTGTGAGAACGTGCAACAGCTAATGAGTTCGAAAGAGTCTCCTTTCATCCCACTATCCACAGCTAAAGTTCTTTTAGAAGAGCAAGTGGTGTGCTTCAAGAAAGGAGGAAATAGTCATTACAAGGCCACGTTGTCGAGTATTTTCTTTGAACTTTAACCTTCACAGGTTGGGTCTGGCACAGTCGCATTTATGCCTTCATTGATAGGATTGATATGTTCGGTTTAACGTCCCGAAACCACCATATGATTATGAGACGCCGTAGTAGAGGGTTCCGGAAACTTTGACCACCTCGGATTCTTTAACGTGCACCCAAATCTGAGCACACAGGCCTACAGCATTTCCGCCTTCATCGGAAATGCAGCCGCCACAGCCAGAATTCGATCCCGCGAGCTGTGGGTCAGCAGCCGAGTACCTTAGCCACTAGACCACTGCAGCAGGGCGCGTTTATGCCTTCACTGTAATGAGAGTGAATCTCTGGAGCACTTTTTGACAAGCCAAAGATTTAAGTCAAAGGAAAAGACTACCAGAAAACCCCTACAATAGTTGGGCTTAATCTTGTCACTTCCGGTGATTCTTTCATTCGGCGCAATTGCATTTGGTTTTAGCCACAGGAGCGTTTTCAACGCTGTTAGAGAATTTTAACGAGTCATTTTAACAATGGAATGATGAACATAGCTAAATTCAGTTGCTTTAGGCATAGACATTTATGTGTGTGTGTGTTAATTATGCCATTCATTTCAAAGTTCCTTTTAAATCCTACAAGTTTAAATTATTACGAATTCAGCTCTTTTCTTTAAGAAATGAGTTAGTTTAATAAGCCAGGTACCATCCGATATATGGCCTATCTCCCTGGATGGGCTACGCCAAGTTGTTGAGGAACCATCCAACCAACAAGAAAAAACTGTTGCTGCCTTATTCGCTAACCTGGGGCTTAATTTCACACTTGAGAACAGGCTTTCCTTCAGTGTTTTGGATCTGGGCTTCAGCCGCAAAAATGCTTTTGATGCCATTTGTGCTTAACCTTCATGAAACTAAATGAAATAAGTTCCTGCTTGCGTATTATTCCTGCAGCAATATTTTAACATCATTAGAATTCTTTTTAATTACTAATTTGGTCAAAATTTCTAAAGCCCTCCAATACAGCGTCTCTTATAGTCATATGGTGGTTTTGGGACGTTAAACCCTACATATCAATCAACAAACTAATTAATTATTCACACCAATCTGTCTTAAATAACGAATATACTGTCTGATCTGAACGAGTGAAAAAGAATTGTTGCACTTCTTCAGTTTTACGTACATTGTTTTTCTTTTGGGTATGGATATTGAATACTGAAAAAGTCTCACTAAATTACATAATAAATTCTTGGCTAATCCCCCTGAGTGAATACAAGTCATGTTTGAGGATTTGTCATCAGCTTGGTCCTGTATGGTTCGACAGTCATCTACGTCCTCGGTGTCTGTGCCTAAGATGAGCCGTGGCTCCTTGAGGTGCAGCCAAAAAGTGCTGGGCGTGGGTTACTGAGTGTCTCCATTGTTGACATGGTAGGCAAGGAGAAGGCGTTTTCATTAAACCATGTCTTCGACTGCCCCTCCGAGCAGGTGACTATTGACACCAATTGTGTCCGTCAGCTGAACTATGGATCTTTCGAAGGCTACAACGTCGCAGTGCTTGTTGATGGGCAGACTGGATCTGGGAAAACTTGCACGATGGGCACATGCTATTGTTTTATCGTGTGTCGGACGCGACGCATGGCGAACCAAGGGGCCCGGCGCCCATAGCGCTGGCGGGGAAGAAGGAGAAAGTGGCAAAGCCGAGACCCTGGCGGAAATTCTTTACTATGTACAGCATGGTATATATACAATCGTACAACACCCTCTAGGAGGCCAGAGAACAGGTTCCCAAACTGCAACCGAAACCCCTATACCACATAATCCCCTTTTAATATCAAGGGCATTCGGGGTCCTATCACGTAACATGATGCAAAACTAACGTAGAATAAAAATGTGCAGCATGCACACCAAACTAAGAGGTAAAGCACACTGACACATGTATAGTGTCCATTTTTATGAAAGAGAACACGAGAGAGCATGGTCTGCACGCTACGGTGGCTGCTGGCAGCCCGTTCAAGTGGGAGCGAGAGCAACCACAGTCTTTTTTTCGTGTCATCTTGCGGCGAGCAAACCAACCATTCGTTGCTGATATAGAACGGCAAGATTGCAAACCCTCCCCCTTCAGGGCGATTACCAGCTGTAATCGCCTGTAATCGAGGTAAAGAGGCCCTGCAACACTTTTTGAGCATGGTCAGAAAAACGCTGCCGATCGGTAGTAGAGGCTCTCGAGAACACGCCAGCCAAATGTTATAGCGCAGCACACAGCATGGAATGCACAATAAATTATTAGAGTCAGCTAAAAAATACTTTCTCTTCCCTCGACAAATGATGGAAGACGCTCAAAAATCACTCGTAGCGGGCCATCTATCAGCCATAGGCTGATTTGAAGATGGCGCGCTCAGTTGTAAGAGAGATCGCCACGAAATGACGCGACTTGTCAGTGCGTGCGCGCGCGATCGCACTGAAAGAGCCACTTATTCAAAGACAAGAAAAAAGTGCTTAAGGTCACGAGGCGCATGGACGTATTTTTTTTGCCCCTGCTATCACTTCCTGCTTAGCTTCCAGCGCTTTCGTTGGGACGAGAGAAGAGATAATGCGATTGCAGCGTGCGACAAATCTTTGTCGCTCATAATGAACGTACTCCGCTCGTACTGGGCAGCTTCTTACTTTTGTGGCGTTAAATTCGTGAGGCAATAAGCTCTTCTAGTGAATTCATTCCATGGTTACATAAGAAAGTGTTTCAGGGCCTCTTTAAAACACTTCCCTGGCCTCCAGCATGCCCATCGATTATTCAGGCTCGCCGCTAATGTCTACAAAACAACAGGGAGCAGAAGACACACCAAGAAGGCCAGGCCCGCTTTTTCTTTACTGTATCTGCATTTGTTTATTAAAAAATATGACATAACTTAGCTTTCATTTGATCAATTCCTTTACGTAAAAAAAAACTGATGAATATGAATTTAGTCACTTCAGTTGATCACACTTTTTAATCAGCATTTGGGGAAAACTACACTGTTTTTAGCACAGCTGTTGTCTATCAAGGCAGAGAATTGGGTATTTATTCATATCATTCATAGGAATGAAATTTTATGGCCGTGTCAAGAGAACAAATATTGGATGACTCTTGAATTTCACGTTTAAAAGTAAAACGCGACACCGAAATAGGGCCCGTTCTCATTGCCTTGTCATTCGCAAACCAAGCTTCACTTTTCGGTGGACATCTCAATCGTGCCAGAAGAAAAGGCAGGTCTGTATGTATAACGTTGGCCATTTCAGGCCATCCTTGAATACCTATGTACAGATGCAGTTTCAAGGCGTCTAAAACGCCATAGTTTTTCATTCTGCAAATTAGCAAAATGCCCACTACCAGTCCATAAGGAAAAATCCGCGCACTTATGCACACGGTCTGTGCTGTTGCCGAATGTATTATACCTTAGCACTTTGTAATGAATGGGCCTTTACCCACCCGCTCACTGCAGAATTTGCATGATGCAATGTCTGGCGAGATTCTATGTTTCTACCATGGAACATTACATGTGTTAATGAGACTACTCTTCCCACTTGACTCCTGTTCCCCACAAAGCAGTTCCAAGCACAGGCATGGCTCTGTGGCAAAACACTTGCTTGCCGTAGGAGACAGCTTGGGTTCAATTCTTGCTCAGAACCATAGTGTTTAGTACTATTTCTACACTTCCCAATTTTTCGCTCGTGGACAATGCAATTTTTTTTATCTCACAACCACAATGCTGATGCCACAGTTTCTCTGAAACAAGCTAACACTACTGCGTTAAAATTAATACTAAGACAGTTGTTGAATGTAGACAACAGTAAATTAGCAACATATAGACAGGGTTACTGCATGAAAGAAATGCTGTGGGACACTTTCAACAACTCCAAGCTGTGCTATGCTCACCAGCTCATCAAAATTGCTGGGTAGGCAAGATGGACTGAAAACCATACAGAATCCTTTTTTTTTTCCATTTCCATTTCCCATCATCTTCATTATTGTTCAGCACTGATGTGCTACAATATAAAACTTGATTTGAGACAATAACAACAACAAGAGGCTACAAAATAGTTGAATTCAGGTGCTTCTTCTAAAAACCAAAATGCATTAAATGAAAAAACACAAAATAGAGGTATTGATGTTTAATGTCCTTTATGGCATGTACAATCGTGAACAAAGCAACCATTCATGTCTAGAAATTTCATTTGAAGCAGCGCATACGTATAATATTGTAGGAAAAAAGACAAACGTTTTAAACAAAATGGCTAGCAAGTACTTAAATAGAATTCTTACACCATAACTCACTGTATTCAAAACAATTCATTATGACCATTACTTGCAAACCATATTACAGTAAAAGCTCGTTTATCCAGATTTCGTTTCATCGGGAATTCGATTGACTTGGACACGCGGCGCGGTCCTGGCAAAACTCTACATATTTCAATGGTGTCAAATGCTCATTATTTCGGAGGGATTTAGACACGCACTGGTTAACTCTGATGATTCCAGAGAGGGCTATCGGGGCTTCATGCTTTAGGTAGCCGATTCCGGTTACTGAAAGCATGAAGTCCTGGCTCCGCCACTGAACCTAAGTTCTTGGAGAAACCAAAACCGAACGAACAGCAGCAGAATATGATCATGATGATAGTGAATGAGAAGAAAAGTGGCCAGGTGGCACTAGTCACTACCATACGGAAGCGCTTACGCTGCCGGCGCATCCAGTCTCTGCGAAATACGCCGCACGGGACAGTTTGCGCAGCCGCCGCTACCCCAGTTGCCAGCGACGCCTACGCTGCTGATTTATTTGCATTGTGACTTCGCACTTAGCGTGTGCAGCTCGGGTACACCAAAAGAGTTGACTGTTGGGCGAGTTGGTGCTTTGACATAGAAACTGTCATTATGTTCTCAGGCTGTGTTTGTGCCTGTTGATGATTTTGGGGCCATTGCTGGTTTGCTCAATGATGATGACATATTATCGGAAGTGCTTGAAGAGGATCAGAATCACTGTTCCGATGATGACACTCAAGATGAGCCGACGCGACATCGCACCGTGCAGAAGGCCACCGAAGCTCTCGCTGTCCTCGCGGAGTTGTGCATCTGTTCTGGCGACAGCGAGCGTCCACAGCACCACCACATGGGGTTGAAGAAGACCGTTCGAGCACTAATTCTGATGACAAGGCAGACTAAGTTGACAAAGTTTTTCATCAAATAAAGATTTGTCTGTGCAGAATACATCTTCCTTTTGTTTTGATGGTTCATTTGATAATCTGGAATTCGGTTATCTCGGACATTTTCACCGGTCCCATGAGATCCGGGTTAACGAGATTTTACTGTACTTCTAGAATTTTCATAAATAAAGAAAACAACATCGGATGTGAAGGAATAGCTTGTTAACACAATTCTTGGAGCTAAATGCCCCAAATGAAGCTACCATTGTGTGAAGATGCACTGTTCATCACAACAATTATTTCATAGATAATAGCATATCATGTGATGTTCTAACCAACCTAATAGGTTTATAACTTTAACAGTTACTACAAGCCAGAAGATGTACATAATGCAGTCATGTGCAATATTTGAACACTAGGAAAATGAGAGCATACTTTCTGCACTTATACAATGCATTACAGTGACAAAGAACAAAATCCATGCTACTGTGCAACTTGTCACAAGAGGAAATACGCCATGCCTGCCATTCAGTCCGAGGAGTGTGTTTTTACAACCAACCAGAAATAGTAACTATCAGAAATGACCACCCTATATGCATACCTGCCAAGTTTAAGCATTCTGAATCCGCGAGATTTCCGCAACAAGGGGGGGGGGGGGGGGCTGAAATATTTGCTCCTTATATGGGGGGGGGGCGCACCAAAATAAAACCCAAGGACCGACAAAAAAACAAAAACATTGCAAAAAACAAGATGGGGTGGGGTGGGAGGTCTCATTCGCAAGAATTAACATCAACATTGCAGTCTTATAAAGGCTTGAAGTGGCCGAACACACGAGTTTAGGATTTCCCACTAATGTGAGAGTCTCAAAGAATGAACACAACTAGCAGAATCTATTTCCTTCAAAATAACTCGCGTGTCTTCCTGGGACACATGTGAATGGACGGAACAGCGCAGCTGGCTGCCGCAAAAGCGAGGGTCAAAGCTTTGCTCACCACTAAATTCTTTTGACAGGAACACTAAAAATGCATCTGGCCCCTTTTTATTGCGATAGCAATTATATAGAGTCTAGGCTGGTTTTTTGCCGTCACGGCTGTCATTCACCGTGTGTATGTATATATATAATGAGCACTCAAGAAAGAAAAAAAAAAATCCACTCGCACCCGGCGCCCAGCTCTTCCTGATGCGCCAACGCGCACTTATCTCTCTCTCAAGCATACTAAGCCCCGCGGGTGAGTGGGGGGTGAGGGGAGTGGATGTTCGTGCGCGCGCGCTTATTCTTTGGTAGGGAGAATTGTGTGCCTTCGGCTTGAACTGGAACGATTGTGTTAGCTGCCGAGCCCACAAAGGCTACTTCGGTCTCTGCACGGGTCCTCTATGCGAAAAGAGTGCGCTTTTCATACAGAGCGACGTATAACTGGGCCACTTGTTAGTTTGTACTCATCTGTACTTGTGACTATGTATCGTGCATTGTTTTTCTTTAAACAGCGCGTTACGTGTCGAGCGGTAAACATTGTTAGTTGGCTCTCGTCCTGTGTGTATTGTTTTCGTGCGTCACTTGTGAGTAAGCAGCGCGCTGCTTGTTTCAATCTGTTTGCCGTTTCAGCGTGACCCTCAATTGTTGTTGCTGTCGCATTCATTGCTTCGCCCTTACAGCGAAACTGTGACATTTTTTAAACAAATTTACGACCTTTAATCTACCGCTCCGTGCCCTCGGAGCTCGTACATCGCTACCGCACCGCCGCGACTGCGGCTGTATGCACAGCGGTAGCGGAAAACAGCAGTTCCTTTTACAATCCTTGTGTGCTTGGCTGCGCACGCGCCTTCAAAACTAAGTCGTTTTATGCCATCTACGATCGCATCTGCCGCAGTTCTGTCCGCAAAGTTTGCGGAAAGCAGCGTTGCTTTGACTGGTCGAGCACAAACTTTCGGGACCCTGTCAGTTACGTCGTCGCCATACATGATCGCGTCAAGAGCGACCGCGGTTTCGTCCACGGCGGCTGTGGCAACGACGATCACATGCACTGTAAAAGACAGTGCGTGCGCTGGTCGCACACCTACTTCCATGCTTTCGAGTACGCTGCTCTTGGCCTTTGTTCGACAGTTTTCGCACTAAAGTCTGTATCAGCCACCGCGATTAGGAAATGTGTTCAAAACATCCGAATTCAAGCCGAATAGACATAGTGGGGCGGGGGAATTTCACGATTTCTATCTGCCGCGGTTTCGCCTCACCGAGATTCTACTGTACGTTTAAATGAACACCTCTTAAACTCATTCGTAATAAAATGGGGTAGGTTCGAAAAGTCTGGTGCATACTGAGCTGCTTTTTTGTCAATGCGGCCAGAACAAGCACAGAAATTTAGATTTCCGGGAGACTTTCATGACAACCGTACAAACGGAAGAAACGGTCCAAAACCGAAAGTGTCTGGGCCAATCTGGGAGACTTGGCAGGTATGTATATGGCTACGAACTTTACCCAGATACTAACAAAAAAACTTGTAACAAAGAGCAAGTCCTCTAAATATTTATCAAAACAAAAATATTTGACGTGGTATATTAATGCACTCTATTCATTACATGGCATATCTAAAATAAACCATACCTACGCTGAAAACAGCTGTTTGAGAACATTTTTTCAGTTCAAATCGATTCGCATACTAACAACAAAAAAACTTGTAACAAAGAGCAAGTCCCCTAAGTATTTATCAAAACAAAAATATTTGACGTGGTATATTTAATGCACTCAATTCATTACATGGCATATCCAAAATAAACAATACCTACGCTGAAAACAGCTGTAACATTCTTTCAGTTCAAATCAATTTGCAACAGAAAAAATGGTGTTTGTCTACGAAGCACCTTTAAGACCATAAAGTTTGATACAATAATACCTAGAGAGGAACCTGGCGCTGCGATTGTGCACCCTCATGGGAATTATGGGAAGTACAGGCTTCGGATTGGATCGCGTTAGCCAGCGTGTCTACGGATTTTTTCTACAGTTTCAGTTTCGTTCTTCGTGTAGAGTGGGCAGTAGGGTGGGTGCAAAGGACTGAAGCTGTGTCTTTGTTGTTCAAAGAGGCTGCAAATTGCTAGGCCTCTCAATTTAATGCAACGTTGGAGCTGAATAAGTCGTGTTTGACAGTTTAAACAAAGCATCTTTCCACTCACCGCTGCACATAGATGTAGCGTCACATGCCAGTGCAGGATATTACATCCGAGTTCACGTTGTTGTTAGTGCGTCTTGCCAAAATTCGTTGAAATTAAATGCAAAACAATGGCAATGCGAAGTAGACGCACTGCCATGCTCTTCCGACTCGACTTCACAACAAAACGAGAGGTGCGTTGGGGACAGGCCACTTGAACAGACTCACCTGGCATTGCAGCAAACGAAACGTCAAGTGTTTCTCACTTAATACTGTGCTGTTATTTCCATTAATAGATATTGCATACTTTCGACGGCAAAACAAGAATGTTTCTTTTGAAATATTGTAAAGAACAGTTAATTAAATTATGATACCATATCTGGAATGCAAACGGCAGAGCAATGCATACCCTGGTAGTTATATTTGTCCAGGTTTCACTTTTGCCACAAAGTCAAAAAAAAAAAAACCTTTTGCAATAAGTTTAGGTGCAAAAAGATCAAGCAAGTTTCAATTAAACACAACTTCATATCACTTTTTTACACTCAGCAAACAAGCATCGCGAATCTCAAGAACGTGATCCATCCGAAGCAGATCTGAAGCCTGTACTTCCCATAATTCCTATGGGGGTACAAGCGCCGCTGAAGGAGCCCGCATAGACACTAGTGCCAGATTCCCCTCCAGGTATTATTGTATGAAACTCTATGTTCAAGACAATGAATGACAGAATGTGAGGATCACCACTGATATGCCCCTTTGCCAGCAGCACTTTAGGCTGCTGTCAAGCAGCTCAAACAACATCAAGTTACAGTGCTGAGCGGATAAAGAAATGTGTGTAGAATGAAAATACCCAAAAACAGACTGCAGTGATGAATGACTGACCAATCAGTCAGAATGCCAGATGACCAAAGGTTGATCTAATCAATCATTCGAACATATACGATGTGTCCTATTGGTGCAAATGTAGTGCATTGTGCACCTGAAGCCAACTAAACCACAAGCCTTCAAAGAGTAACCCTAAGATGGATACTAGGGTGAACATAAAGGCATGGTTCTGCCCACTACCCTTGGCCAAAACAATGCTGCTTAACTTGGGGGTGGCGGTGGTGGCGGGGCTGCCAGCAGCCCAGGTAGCGCAGCCAGCGTACTTAGATCCACCATAGTTGTAGTAGTTGCAGTAGCTGTAGTACTTGTACTGGTACTTGAGGCGGCGCTGTCTGTGCTGGCAACTGAGCTAACTGCGGGCGGCGGTGGTGGTGGCGGTGGCAAGCCCATGTTCATAAAGGCTCCTCCAGGGCCCCAAGAAAACAGCTGAGGCGGTGGTGGAGGCACCCCTGTTATCGGTGTTTGCCAAGGGGCTGTAATGAACAATGTATATTTCAGGACTACTCAAAATACCACATTACGTACCATGGCTAAACAAGAACAGCTTAAGCATCAGACGATTCATACGGAGTTAATACATAACGTAGTTAGTAAAATCAACAAATTGTTAACACTGGTGATAAGTGACTTTTATACAATGTATTGTTGCCAAGGGACTCTGATAACATGGAAAGTACCACCAGAACATTCGAGTTATACGGCAATATGAAAAAAAAGAAGTTTTAGTAATGTAAAAAAAATTTGTTAAACCTAAGATCGGGCGACAATGCTCTGATACCATGCCAGTGAAGTCCTCTTCTGAGTGCCCTCACATCATGCATAAAGCCTAAAGATATTCAAGTCCAACGCAGAATGGTAACATTGGATAAGATCACGTCGATTCTGTTTCCACAGTAGGTCAAAGAGACCTCATGTGCTGCCCAGAACAGGGCGATGCATATGCGACAATGTTCATCAAACAAAACCTCCACTCAGCCCTATAAACGTGCACAACATCGAAAACTGGCGCATGTCACAAAAAAATAAGAGCTGCAGTCTAAAACTGCATGATACCAAAGTGAGTACCTTAAAGGCGCACTGCGACACTTTTGCAAGTAACCATGGCTTTAGTAAAGGAGTTTATTGCCTAACGAACAGAGCGCTTCAAATTTTTTTAGAATCCCTCAAGCATGGGGCCGTTACAGGAATTAGTCACACACTGTCGCTGCTTTCTCCTCTTGTCCGGACGAGCGCGCTGTAGGCTAAGAAGTAGGATAGCACAGGGAAGAAAGTCAAGTCTCACATGCGACGAATTATGATCTTGAGCCCTTCGTCACACTTTTTTTTTTTTTCATTTGCATGCGCAGCTTACTCTCAATGTGATGGTGGGCTCATCGCACCCTCTTGCGAATACCACAGTAACTATGCAGCCCACAATACTCAAATCAGCCAAAGGGTGTGAATTTGGGTATCTGGCGTGGTAATTTAAGCTAAGGCAAGAAAAAAACGTTTTCAAGTTGATTTCAATACAGTCAAACCTCATTATAATAAAGTTGCATCTTGCAAGAAATTAAGTTCGTTCATGGCCTCCAAGATTGCGAGCGCGCGGCATGGCTTTCTCCAGTCGTCCCAATCGAGGTGCTCCCCAGCAAATTCAGCAAGTATCGTCTCACGTGCCCCACTACCGCGAGTGGGGCGCATTTAATGTGGGTTCTTGGGGGTGGCGGACACCACGGCAGAAAGCAGAGTGCGTGGGATATCACCATGTGCATGTTTTTGTTTTTGTTTTTTCCTCACACACAAGCGAAAATCACTGCCACATTTTCTTGCTGCTCTGAAGGTAAGTACTTCTTTTCATTTTATTGCTTTTATTTTAGTCCAGTTTGCGAATAAAAGCATGGAAACTGCTAAATGTTTTTTTACATACATCATAGTAAGGATGTATTAATTCATCTGTGACAGTATTACTTTTTTTTCATTACCGTCTGATTTGTCTTGGTGCTAAAAACCTCAATTTGAGAAATAGAGGCATATATTATTAAAATTGTACATATTATTGAAAAAATATGTGCAACTTTTGAAAAAACTTCGGTTTTTCAAGCAGCATCTCTATTCAATAGATGGAATTTTACAGAAGTTTGCACAACTACACACCTTGGTTCGAATTACAGAAAAATTAAAATTAATGAAGTGCAAATCAATTAGCTTTGACTGTATTATTCTTGATAAGTGAAAAAATGAGAATCATTTTATCCTAAAAACACGGCTTAACGTGGCAAACTTTCCGCAACATTTAAGACGTGATCGCAGTGAAAAAGAACGAAAAAAAAAAATGACGTCAACATGAGCAACACCACAATGGTTGACGGGTGGCATTCAAGACCAGAACTTCCAGAACTGAAGAAGACCAGAACTGAAGAAATTCAAGACCAGAACTTGCACTTTTATTTTCTCAATAATAAAGGACTGATCTCAATATTGAACCAATATTTTTCTAAAAAATTTAAAAAAGGTAGATCGGAAAGAAAAAAAGATGAGAAATTCAAACTCTACGATACCTCCAGGACCTTGTGGTGGTCCTGCCATCCATGGAGGCAGCCCTGACGGCGGAGGTCCAAGCATAGGTGGAGGTGGGGGCACTCCAGTGATGGGAGGAATTCCTGCCTGCATAACCCAAACATGTTGCTTAATAACGTTAAATACAAAAAAAACTATAATGGCCCCTAAGCAACTTTTGGGATGTTTAAATGGGACATTACTTGTCCCTTATGTCAATGGATGCCTTGCCAACAGTGTAGAGACCGTCGCAATACAGCGAAACAGTGTTCACCGAGTCTCCGACAATATAAAAGGCAACTGCAGAGCATGCACAGTGAGCTCCAGCACCATCATGTGCACGGCCGCTGGATGAAAGAGTGCACGGGTACGGCCTGCCGGGTGCTCCAAAACCGGCGTGACAGGTCTAGTCCCCAAACCGCCGCTGCGACGCCACCGAGGGGGGAGGGGGGACAGTTTTCGCGAGCGCCCATAGAATCGCATGCGCTGCGCGCTTGGGGTAGTTACCATTGAGTGCTTGCACCTTTGTGTGACCCGCGAAACCTTCTTATAATATCTGTCTGGCATGTGCGCACCAGGTGATTACAGACCTTGCTTTTAGATACCTGCAGCCCTTGCAAATTTTGGGTATTGTCCTACCCGAGATGGAACCTTGCACACCGATCAGTTTTCGCGGAAGTGAGAATTGTGAGTACACTTTACTCAGATCCTACAAGATCACAACTAACAGATCTGGAAGAGCTACACCTTTCTAATACATTTAAATTAATTATAGTAACTGAGTATGTCGCTTCAGATTTGATAATTTCATTAAGAATATGTAACCTCAGCAACTGCAGTTGCCACTGTTCCTTTAGCACAAAATAAGATAGACGTCCCACTTTCTCCAAACACATCCATAGTATTCATACAATGAGATGCAACAGTCACGAAATATACTTAGCATGTGTGGGGTCGCATAACAGTGGACTCGAGCCTCTTTGAAGTTTCAGTGACTGTAATTTTCAACGCTGGCAATCGAGCGAGCAGTTTTCAACTGAATAATATGAAAACTGTGAGACGAAAAGAGCGATGAAATGCTGCGAAATGCAAACACAACTGCTTGCGTTCCTGCGCTTTTGAATGTTTTCGTCTCTTTCCGTCTCGACGTTCTTATGATAATGTAACTAATTCAACAGTGAACACATAATCAGAACAAGATGCGCGAAAATATTTTATTTATTCTCCATTTATGGCTGATCTTGGCATTCTTAATATTTTTTATACTTCTTTACAGTTTTGCATAATAAAACAACTTCACAATTGCTCCAGCTTGTGCGCCCAACTTTTGGCTTCTGTGTCTATCGACAATAAAAGCATCCGCTCAGTCTTTTCATGTTATCCTTTCCACAGGCACTGGCGAATGCCAATGGCACTCCAACGCGCTTGTCTTCTGGCAGTCTCCATCATGCGGTTCTGTCATCCATTACTGTTTATTTGTTCTACTATGTATCGTCGACAAATAGGCACCTGTGCTCGCTCAAACGAAGGCACATCACGTGCACTCGACTGCCCTAGAGCAGCCGTGGTTTCGCGATGTGTAAACATAGTGAAAACGTGGTTTTCACTTGACCCGGCCGTTATATATATATATGTCGCGCATACATAAATATAGCTCAAGTAGCTTGAGTTTATCCCTGCAGCCTCATGATTTTGTTTCAGGAGTTGAGGACTATTACTGTCAGCGTCATTGCTCTAGATAAGGCACTCCTCGCCAGTGTGTGTGTGTGTGTGTGTGTGTGTGTGTGTGTGTGTGTGTGCGTGTGCGTGTAATATATATATATATACATATATATATGAATGAGATCTAACAGACAATAATGCCAAGGAAGGTATAGGGGAAGTTATTAGAACAAATCTAATGTAAATAAGAAGAAAGAAAAGTGGGTGAAAAAATAACCAGCCGTGAGCAGGAATCGAACCTACGACCTTCGAATAACACGTTCGACTAACTTGTTCGACGCGGCTGGCCATAACGTGCGCTTTTTCATCCAACGGCCGTGTCATGTGAATGGCCCACAAACCAGCATAACCACGTGCACAGCACGAGTATGATACAATTTGTAAGCTGTATTTCTGCCACGAATTTCTCATGATGGCCAGGCCACACAACCAGTCTAATAACGCGTTGCATTAAAATCTACGATGCAATGCCCCACATATAAAAAACCACAAAAATTTTCAACTAAGAATGGTACTGCCTGACCAGGAGATGATCAAGTCTATGTGACCGCTACGTATTTCTATCGAACTGTCAGCTGTCGCTTAGTATCAGATCGTGGTCCATGCTGTTGCTATCACAGAAGCTGTGCATCCAGGACCTTACAGTGTAATACAGTCAAACACTGTTATATCGAACCCGCATATATAGAATTTTCAGGTATATTGAACTCGCAAGTTATCCCCTTGAAAAGCCCTTGTAAAAGTATAAAAATTCACAAGTTTATATCAAACGGTATTTTTACCCACCTTTGGGTATATTGAACGCTGGGCGAGCTGGAAGACGCGCTTCAGCACACGCGTCTCCGTGAACTCCGCGGCAGCGCGGCTCCATGCGTGAGTTGGAAGGCGCGCTTTTCACGGCTCCGCCAAAACCCAAAACGCATGAATAAATGTAAGGCCGAGAGAGCTCAAAGCGCCCAGTCTCTAACTTGCCAAACAGCTTTTTTTTTGTTTCCCGTTCTTTCTCTCTCTCTCTCTCTCTCTCTCTCTCTCATGCTTTCTCTTCCGCGTACCCGTCGGGTAGGCTCGGAGATCAGGACCGAAGGAACCGATGCCTCCTCCTTCCGCCTTCTCTTATTTTTTGTTGCTGTTTTGCGAGTTTTGATCAGCCAATCACAGCTCGCGCCTTTTGCTGTTACCCTCGCAAGTGGCGAGCGCTTTGTTGCTTTAGTTGTCCCGTCACCTATGTACCACTGCTTGTGCAGCATTCCTCTGTTACGTGCGTCGTGTGCTAATCTGCTGCGGACTCCTTGTTCTCATGTAGCTATGGCCAGCGTCAAGATGTGCAAGACCCTTGACATTGCGACGAAGTTGAAGGTGATTCAGTGTGTTGAGGAGGGCGAGAAATCTTCGATCGTCGCGGATGACTTCTGCATACCACAGAGCACGCTGAGTACCTTGTTGAAAAACAAGGCAGACATCAAGGCACAGGCGGCGGAGCAGCGAACCTAGAGAGCCTGTCGTGTGCGCGCTCCTGCCCATGTAATAGTAGAAAAGGCATTCTATGCCTGGTTCTTAGAAGTGCACGCTAAGAATATTCCAGTGGATGGCCCCGTGCTGACGGCCAAGGCCACTGCCACCGCACTCCATTTTCCACTGCACTCGATAAAGACAGCTTCGCCAACAACACCGGGTGGCTTCACCGATTTAAGCAGTGGTGCAACATCGTTGGGAAAGCCATCTCTGGTGAAAGCAAATGTTTCAGCAGCCAGGACATCAGCAGTGGATGACGAAGGAGTGGCAGGAAATCTCTGCGAAGTTTTTTTTCCCGCGGAGATCTTCCATGCCGACGAGACCGGTCTCTTTTGGCAAATGTTGCCGAGCAAGACTCCCGACGTTCGCGGTAGCACGTGTCATGGGGGCAAAATGAGTGAAGTTCACGTGAGCGTTCTGCTGGCAGCCAACATAGATGGGTCTCAGAAGCTTCAGCCCTCTGTGATCAGTAAAGCAAGGGCACCGCGCTGTTTCAAGAACTGTAAGCAGCTCTCAGTCCGCTACGCCTCAAACAAGAGGGCGTGGATGACGCGTCAGCTGTTCACGGAATGGCTGCAAGCATAGGACGTCGAGCTGGGCAAGTCGGGGAGTTGCGCTTGCCGTCTTGTAGACAACTGCTCAACCCACCACACCACCTGCGAGCTCAAAAACATCGAGCTGAAGTTTCCGCCGGCCAACACTACGGCGAAGCTGCAACCACTTGACCAGGGCATCATCAAGTCCTTCAATGTAGGCTACAGGAGGCGACTCCTTGATAGGATGCTGATCAACCTCTGCATGGGCACCGAGCTCAAGGTTGACCTTCTTGGTGCCATACAAATGATGACGGGTGCCTGGCGAGACGTGAAGACGAACACAGTAGTGAACTGCTTCCGCAAGGCAGGCTTTGAGACTGCAGAACTTGCGGAAACTAGTGAAGATGGTGACGACGAGTGCATAGACGACACGTTTCATCAGTTGTTGTCCCTCTTCTAGGCCACAGTTCCGCGTGAAGTATCTGCAGACGATTTTGTCAAAGCGGACTGCAATGTCCAGGCTTTTGAGAACCTCCAGGCTGTTGAGAGCCTCCCTGATGAGGACATCGTAACGGCGGTCATAGGGACCCAGGATGCCCAGGCCAACAGCTAAAGTTACAAGGAGAATCATCGGGACGAGGGACAATGTGCTGGCTACATGCACGTACTCCCCCGCTGAAGTGACGGCACCGTTTGGCGTCATTCGCCATTGTATCGGCGACATAGAGGAAACGGGATGTTGCACCTGGACAGCCTTGAAAAGATCGAGACAGACATCTTCAACTTCATTTCAAAAACGAAGAAGCAGGCCAAGATAAGCATTTTTTTGCCTGCAAATAAATCATTTTGTTGCGGCATGTGTGCGGATCATTTGTCATTCAATGCGCCGATTGTAGGTGATGATTCGCTACAGGGTAAGCTCTCAGGGCTTCCTATTTTTGATATCGAATTTTTGCATATATCGAACTAATTCGCGACCCCCTTTGAGTCCGATTTATCCGTGTTCGACTATAGTTTCGTAATGCTCCTTAATTAATATGTGGGGTTTAACATCCAAAACCCACCATATGATTATGAGAAACGTTGCAGTGGAGGGCTCTGTAAATTTCGACCACCTGGGGTTCTTTAACGTGCACTCAAATCTGAGCACACGGGCCTACAGCATTTTCACCTTCGAAATGCTCCTTGGCGTCACCACTGCATGATATGAAACAATTGTGCGAGAGTGCCAGCCGAGTATCTTACCTACACTGTGCCAAAGTGGAAGAAATTACTTTTTGGTGGGAACTTTGGGCAACACCTGCTGTGATACTGTATTTGTTCATTGGTGGCGATGGG